TAGTGGTGACCTCAAACTCGACCTTGTTGGTGTCCTTCAAGGTTATTTCCTTCCTTCAAGGTCAAATTTTTTTTCTAAAAGCCTCCTCATTTGTCGTAGGCAATTGAAAGAGCGGAAGTTTTCATACTTTTACTTTTAGCGTTACCTAGGAACAGCGGCGGGGACGTAGTAAGGACTGTTTCCTTTGGGGTGTTTGCTTAACGTGAATCCCCTTGCCTCTCACGATGGGGTGCTGGATTTACGTGAGTCCACTTGCCTCTCACGTTGGGGTGCTTTATTATCGTGAGTCCCCTTGCCTCTCACGTGCATTGATAAACATTTAGTCACTGTATTTAACGCAAATGCTCGAATTGTTCTCCGTTTACTTCTTGACAGTAACCTAATCGATGGTAGAAAGCACCAACAGCCTTTTTGATGATTTCAGTGGGAATGAGAGCTGATTCATTAACGATCCTTTGCTGTAATTTATCTAAATTTTGGGGTTTTGTTTTGTATACCCGATCCTTTAGATAACCCCAACAGAAATAATCTAGAGGCGTTAAACCGGGTGACCTAGCTGGCCATTCAATTGTGCCTCTTCGTCCTATCCATCGATTAATAAATACTGTATCTAAGTAAGCGCGAACGTCTCGTGCATAATGAGCTGCTGCGCCGTCCTGTTGATACCATGTGTCATTAAAGTTGTCTCCAGCTATTTCTCTTATTGCAGGAACTATTTGATTCCGCAGAATAGCTTCATAGTTTTGGGCATTTAAGTTGCCATAAAAAAAATGGTCCTATAATTCTATTATTTAGTATTCCAGCCCAGACATTTAATTTTTGTGGATATTGTGATTTGGCTTCTCTTGCCCAATGAGGGTTTTCATCTGTCCAATATCTACAATTACGCCTATTTAAGTTTGAGTCAAGTTGAAATGTAGCTTCATTTGAGAAGACTATATTTGATAAAAAGTTGGGATTTTGAACTATGCGTGCCATCATATCATCACAAAATTCAACGCGACGATCGAAATTGTCTTCATTTAACTTGTGTATCAGTGTTACTTTGTATGGATGGAAATTCTCTCTCTGTAGTATGTGGTGAACCGATGATTTACTTATTTCGTGCTCTTGAGCAGCTCTACGAATTGAAGTAGAATTGAAATAGAATTGAAATCCCTTTGGGGTGCTTTTATAATATTGTTTCTAAACCTCTTTTTTACAGCTTATTTTCAATTTTTTGCTTTTCAATACTTAACATAACGTCTTGTTCTTTAATTTTGAATATGTAGCTAGCATTTCAGACATAAAAAAATTATTTAACATGAAATTCAACGTAAAAAACTTTAATTTGAGAGGTTTAGGATCCCTGTATGATGATCTGATCCAATGTTATGGAGATTTGAAGTTGATTGATGAAAGCGTCATTTTATGTACAAAAAATTTGACTGTAAAATAGCCTATAATGCAAACCTCCATAACTGTCGATCCGATTATTGTAGAGAGATCCTAGACCTCTGAAATTAAAGGTCTTTACGCCAACTTCCATGCCAAATCATTTGTTTATGTTTAAAATACAAGGTAGATGTACAAAATTACAGAATATGACGTTATGCTAATTATTTGTAAGCAAAAAATTAAAAAATAAAACTGTAAAAAAGAGATTTAGACACAATATTTTGAACTTTTTAATTGGTTTTGGGAGTTTTTTAGTAAATACTTTAGGATGGTCTAAGCAGTTTTTTTAGGTAAAAAAAATTTTTCTCACAGGCCTGGTTATCTCCTTGCTGGAAAATACTTTTTTAATATGTATTAAAAACGTGACTCAAAAATAATATAAAGTATGCTGTGTAAGTTGTCAGTCCAGTGTTACGGTTTAAAAAAATTTATTTGTTTACATATTAGGTCTAGTAAAAAATAATCCATTATTTTTCCAATAAAGAGCTTTACTAATCTGCATCTCGCGTTGTATAAGTCCGAACGAATTACGCTAGATGGCGTTAGAAAGATAAGATTTCGTACTAAAAAAACCT